CCTCAACCTCCACCCCACTAATATTTGTCAAATAACTTATCAATAATAAATGCGAGATTAAAATCCCATAATGACTTTGGTTCTCAAGGACAGAGAATCATAGTACAAGATTTCCTTCAATATAGTGAAGATACTGAATTGTAACATTGAATACCTCACCTTGGCAACCTCTAATTGCTGAATTGGACTCAGTAAAGTGAACCTTTTAGTTCATACAAGCCACAATAATGAAAAACTTCCTACTGAAACTCACAAAAAAAAAATATTTTTGAACATTTTCACAACAGTTCATACAAACCAAGACAACCAAAAACATAGAAAAAAACTATGAAAATGATAATTGCACAAAATCCCAAACATCTAAGTTGTTGACTAATACTAATTTGATAGCCCTTCTCTGGACAAAGTCCCAGTCACCTTAAACAGTGAGTCAAGTCTAAGAAATTTTATTTTATTTATTTATTTATTTTTTCCAGTACACTAAAAAAATTCATTTTGAAAACAATTCTTCAAATTATTATCTTTTTAATCCAAGATTAATCTTTTCTTTTCAGTCCCAAACATAGGAATGAATTGTTTATCTTTTCTTTTTTCGTTTGCACTATGAAAGAAAAATTCTTTGATAAACTTATTGACTTGGAAGTGCTTTCAGATTCAATCAAGGAAATTGATTTTTCTTCTACAGAGGGTTTTTTGATGGATTTCTGAGTTCTTATACAGTAAATTTTGCGATTTTGTTATTTTTTCTCTTCCTTATTTGTTCTTTGTGTTGTTAAATGTTTGATTTCATTATGATTTTGTTTTGTGTTTTGGAGCTAATCCACAGTTTCGAACCATATCTTCAGATTCAATCAAAGAAATTGATTTTTCTTCTACAAAGGGTCTTTGGAAGATGGATTTCCGAGTTCTGATACGGTAAGTTTCGTTGTTTGTTTGTTTTTTTTTTTTAATTATATTCTTATTTGAAAATCAAAGTGTAAAAAATAAAGTAAGTGGTGCAATGTTTTTGGGTAACTTTTGATTTTTCAATCATTCTTCTTGTTATCGATTCCATTTTCTTTGGTTTCTATGATTACCATGATGTGTGGGTATTTTTATTTTGGGCATTCATCCAGGTGTGACTCCTAAATTTTTTAGTTTTGTGTAGATCAATAACTTAATTTGTGTGATTCAGAAAATTTTTAGGGTTTATTATTTAGCTTTGTAATTTTTGTCTATAATATATTTTTTTGATTTTTTAGTTAATTTTTATGGATTTTATATGTTGTTAAACTTTTAGGGTTTGTGCAAATAAAGAATTAAAAGTTTTCTTATTTGGCTTTGAAATGAATTTTGAAGATGTGTTTCATGCCAACGATTGAACTTCAAAACCCAATTCTAGCTTTGATGGACTAAACATATAATCAATATTGTGATGGAATTTAGTTCTTTAGGTTGAATACTGGAGATTTTGTTCTGTTCAAAGATAATATCCATTGGGTGTTTGAATTTTGTGCTTAAATTATTTGATAAAATAATTGGAAGACAAATTGCCACGTAATCACTGATGTGGTCAAAAAGTAGTAGGTTAACATAGTTCCTTTCACCAACAAGTATGTTCTTGCTAATTCTCTTATTGGAAAAGTTTTGTATTTTGTCCTATCTTTGATTTTTGAGGAATTGAAGAGATGATTGATTTGTTGGTGCAATTCTATTTTTGTTACTTGCTTTGTGTGTTAGTTGTGCTTTGTCGTTGTCTTCATCTTCCTTCTTTGATCATGAACGGAGGTATTGTGAGAGTTTGCCTAACAAAGTTAGGGTTTCTTCGTACTTTCCATGTACTAAAAATTATGCTTTTTTTCTTTGTTTTTTTGTTTTGTTTTGGGTGCATAAAATGAGGGTTTTCATTTTTTTTTTTTGGTTTACTTGCTTTAGGATTGTGGGGTTGTTGTGCTTTGTCTTCGTCTTCCTGCTTTGATCATGAACTTCTATGAGAGTTTGCCTAACGAAATTAAGGTTCCTGTCTTCTTTCAGCTGCTGTACATTATCTTATTTATTTATTTGCATTAAAAGGGGGTCTGATTTTTAATTTTTCTTTGTTAACAATTTTTTTTGTTTACTTGCTTCTTTTTTTATTTCTATTTTGAAGGGTTGTGTGGTGGTTGTGCTTTGTCTTCGTTTTCGTCTTCCTTGTTTGATCATAAATGAGAATTCTATGAGAGGTCGACTAACAAAGTTAGGGTTTTTGCCTTTTTTCCAGATCATATATATATATTTTTTGTTGTTGCGTAAGGGGATCTTGATTTTTTTTTTTCTGCCTATTTTTCATTTTTGTTTCTCACGATTTTTTTTGTGGAACTTGCTTCTATTTTTATTTCTATTTAGAAGGGTTGTGGGGTGGTTTTGCGTTGGCTTTGTATTCCTTATGTTCATTAGCTAACAAATTGTGTCACTATATTTCTTTACATGTTCCATAAACGTCAACAATTTCTTAAGATCACTTTTAAACGTCGATTTGAACTATTAAAGGTCCAATCTTTTCTCTTCATAGCTTTTTTTTTTTTTTTGGGGGGGGGGGTTTGGAAATGACTTTTGTTTGAGTTTCATTCGTAAAAGAGAAGTATACCACATTAGTATGAATCATGTTTTAATTTGATTGGGGGTTAGTGCCTTGGGCCACTATGGAGGGTTAAATAGAAATGTGAAGAAAACTACACATAGTCATTGGAGTCTTGGCCAATGGTTTGCTTCATATTTAGTGGTTTAATATTTCTTTGTGATATGAGTTTGTAATATGTTTTATAATTTTCTTTGTTACCTTTAGTAGATTTTGTTACTTGCTTCATATTTTTTTTATTTGTGTATCATTTAATAAACAAATTCTAGGTGTATAACATCAATCATCAAGACATGGATATACATTTCTTCTTTCTCTGGTTATGTGTGCACAAATATGGGATTTGTTATATGCTAAGATTACACTTTCTCGGTCTCTATTACAGGGAAATAATGGATTTTGTGAGAACAATATAGTTTACCAAATACATAGGATTAACAAGATCAAGGTGAGTACCTTCTAATTTTTAGCTATCATAATTTCTGACACCACAAATTAAAGGTAATTGTTACTTGATAATTTGCACACATAATATTTCAGATAATTGTTATAATGATCTCAAGCATTAAATGTTCATTATTTCAACTTAGACAAACACAAAAACTGCATCGAACAAATTATACAACAAAAAGTGTACCCTTTATGAAGTAGGCTACTTTTAAGTTAGAAAACAATTTGTTAATTTTAACAAACAAATGTTTGTATTTCAAATGATCAAGTCTAAAACATTTGGTATAATTTCACAATTGCACTTTTGTTTTCATTTTTCTTATATATCCAGTGCATTTCTAATTATGTTTAAAATACATGTTTTGTTTTGTGTCTACATGTTGGGAGGTGGGAAAGAGAAATGTGATGTTTGGAAAAAGTTATTTCACAATTGATTATTTTATTTTTTCTTCTACCAAATATCTTTAATTAATATGCAAACTCAGTAATACCGATTAAATTTTCATGCTTAATGTTGACTGCCCATTTATTTTTTTTGTTCTTTGTTTTTAAATACATTTTAAAAAGCACTTGAATGTGTATTTCATACCTGGGACTGTTGATGGGCTGTTACACTGGTGGACTGGTTTTGATCACAAAAACTTGAATGAATGTGCTCAAAACATAGGGAATGAATGTGCATTTCAAAGTGTACAACCAGACTTTGACTTAAGAGAACTGGGTGATTGCATGAAAGGCCTGGCAACAGTTTAACTGCTGCTACTTGCTGTTTAAGCTTGGTTGTTGTGTGTTGCATTCATTGCTGGTTTGAGTTGAATAAAAAGCACTTGAATGTGTATTTCATACCAGGGACTGTTGATGGGTTGTTACACTGGTGGGACTGGTTTTGGTCACAAAAACTTGAATGAATGTGCTCAAAACATAGGGAATGGATGTGTATTTCAAAGTGTACAACCAGACTTTGAGTTAAGAGAACTGGGTGATTGCATGAAAGGCCTGGCAACAGTTTAACTGCTGCTACTTGCTGTTTAAGCTTGGTTGTTGTGTGTTGCATTCATTGCTGGTTTGAGTTGAATTCTTATCAACTCTGTTTGTATTTGTTTGTTTGCTACTAGGAGTGCACGTGATTGGTCCATCACTAGGTGCCAACACAGTTGGGATGAGGTGTTTTGGACAATGATGCAATTTTTTTTCTTCCTACATCATTGTAATATATTCTCCTTTTCTTTTGCCACTCAAAAACAAATCTATGGAATAACCTTGGTTATGTTACTGTTAATCTTTTCAGCAACCATTATGAATTGTTTTTTTTTTCCCTCTTGTGAATGTTTGAGTTTATTATGAATTTTTTCTTTTCTTTTTCATGGTTGAGCAAGTAAGCGAATCGAAACTACATGCCAAGCTAAGAAGGCTGTCGTTTGGAATGTAGTTAGTTCACCGTAAGGATCACCTTTCCAATTCTACGAGTGTGAAAAATGAGCTTGGTTATTTTGTCACATTTCTTTTTTCTTTTCTGAGTCAGTTCACCATGAGGATCACCCTTTTAGAGTCTACAAGTCAAAAATGGCCTTGGTTATTTTGTTACACTTATTTTTGAGTATTATCGGCTATGTTTATTTCTTGTGATATATTAAAATTTAGAGAGAAATTCTCTTGCAATTGTTTTCCACTAAACAGATAGCTCAATTCTAAGTTAGTTTATATGTACATAACGTTTTTCTCTCCATATAATTTTTTTCTCTTGACTTCGGGGTTGTTTGGGATGACCTAAATAAGTGAACTTTTTGTCTTTTTACGAAAAGATATGCAGAAAAGTAGAAAAATGATGTGATAAAAAAAAGATAAAAAGATAAATTATTTTATATATGCCAAACTTGACTTTAATATGTTTATAAATTTCAGTTCAAAACACACAAATGTAACGGACACTAGTTGGGCATTAGTTAGCGTGCCTTGCACGCGGCCCCCTAACTAGTTTTAATAAAAAAGGCGAAATTGCCAAACAGTGGAAATTCTGGGCTTGGTTCATCGGGGTTTTTTTGGGGATACAAACTAGCTAAATTCCTTACCTTCTCTGCAACATCCCAAGCCTTCATTCAAAAGGTATTCTCTTCATTTTATACCATTTTTCTAATTATCTCTAAATTTTCTCATTGATTGTTATTACTATTTTTAAGTTATGATAACACACCTCTCAACTCTCTCTCCAACCATGTACGTAACTCTCTCTCTCTCTCTCTCTCTCTCAGATCTTCTCCTTCTCTATCTGCAACTGCTCAGATCCCATCCACCCAAACCCACCTCCCCACCGAGATCGAGATCGAATTGGACTGGTGACTTTTTTTTCTGTTTTTTTTTCAAATGTTGTTTCCAGGGAATTTGTTATGATTTCTTTTTCAGCTTTCGATTTGCTCATAATCTTTAAGCTTCACTATTTGTCACCATTTTATCCTAGACTAGTGAGATGAAAGGATTGAGTATTTTTATCCCCTAACTTTATCCAATTGATCCTTGATGCCAATGCAGAATTTCTTGCTCCCAGATTTTATCTAGCCTTGAAAATAGAATCCTAGACTCTTCTTCAGTGAGGGGATTAGATTGATTTTTATCCCCCTTTTTTTCAAAAAAATTTGTCAACATCCGTTTCAGCACTAGCTGCCTAAGTGGTGCCATGAGAAAAGGTAGCATTTTTTTATTTTGGGTACAACAATTTTCTTTTGAAATTTGGGTAAGTTAGTTAAAAAGAAAAAAAAAAATAGTTTCAATGTTTAGCTAAATAAATACACACTAGCTACAGTAGTTAGGCAAAATAAAAATGCCTTACACAGTATTAGAGTTGCTAATGTAAAATTTTTATCTTTTCCTCTTATATTAGTTTGTTCTTTATTTGGAAATTATTTTTCTATGATTCTGTCAATAGTGATATGAGCTTTAATCCAATGTTTTAGGATTTTGAAAATGGGGATCAGTAAAACAGAAATAAACTTGAGGAGGTTGGTTGCTGCTGCATCTCATCAACAAAATCAAGCAAAGCTTATACATGTACGTCAACGGATCTTTCAACTCAAACTGCTGATTTGGGAATGGTTTGTGTGCTCTATCTTCTCTATATATGTGCGCGCATGTTTATGTATATATAGATTGTTACTCAGTTACAACTCTCCCTTCTTAGGGGATGTTTTTGTTATTATTATTTTTTAAATGGTTTTAGAGCATGTTAAAATGCCTTAATTGATTGGCATTGTGCATTGGCTGTTATATATATATATATATATTGTTATTGATCTGGCAAAAGAATTTGGTTTGTTGTTTTTTTGTTTACAAATTCATGCCATACTTATTATATATTTGCATTGTTGCAGTATGTTGCTACACTAAGAGAACAATTAGAACAACTAGCTGAAGAGAGAACCTCAGATGGATTACCAAGGTCAGTACTCTTTTCTTTCAAAGTTTTATTTTTTTTTCTTTGTACTATTGGATTATTAGAGAGGCGCTGCGTAGTGCACACTGTCATGTCCGTCATATAATTGTCGTGAACATTTTGAACTGCTTTTTACATATCCTTCTAGAGGGACCTGATGTTTCACTCTCCTGGTAAATTCAAAAAGTTTTTCTTCGTGTATCTTTTTCAAAATGATGATCTTTGATGTTGCAATTTCAATCATGAATTGTGTAAGTATTATGGTAGTGTTTGGTTCACTTCAATAGAGTGGAATAGAATGATCTTTCCATCAAAATATTCATTCTCATGTTTGGTTAGACTAAAATAATAATGATAAATGCATTATAAATGGATTCATGTTACACCATTTTAAGGGAATTATCATTGTGTAGGAAAATTTAAGGAATCACATTTCCATTCCATTCCCTTTCATTCCAATGAACCAAATAGAGCCTAAGATTGAAGGGAAATTGTAAATAATGCATATAAGCACTGGAGATAATAGGTGAAGGTCGTCTAAAGCCATTTTAGGAGGAATGATTGTGTATTGATTTCTTCATTTGAGGCCTTTCTAGGTAGATATAGCTCCTTCAGATTATTGTGCTGGCCTTTTATAGCATCAGACATGTAATTCATTTGAAGAACTGAAAGCTAGAACCATTTCAAGAAACTAAAGCCATAGAAGAAATCTAAAAAAATTCAATATAAAGACATCAATGCAATGACATAATATGTAGGCAGGTCTGATCAAGGAGTAAAATATTTGTAAAAAAGGGATATCTTAGTCTTCAAAGATTGTAGATATCTTGATAGATATAACAAAATTGATATTGGTACCTGAATATTCTAAGTCGTCATTTTTTTTTGAACTTCACGAAGTGTTGATGTGTAAATATATTTTTCTTGATAAATAGATATTAGACTCATAATGTGCATAATTTCATATTTTTCTATACATGATCTGCTAGTGATGTTCATGTGGAGGAATTGTTCTAAGTTACTCAATTTATTAACATTGTGAATTTTTTTTTTTTTTTTTTTCTTTTTCTGTGACTGTTTATATAGAGTTTCAAAAGCTCAGGTGAATGATTATTCGGAGAAGATTGAAGCCCTTGCTGCCAAATTGGCTGCCCCTGTGGTGTGTGTATACTTCAGCTTTGTTCTGTATTGGCAATTTTGCATGTTAAACAAATAATATTCAGGTTTTTCTAAGTTTTAGTAAAGTACACTTGAATGAACATGGGTTTTAGTTTAGATCCCCAGCATTATGAAACTGTTCCATTTCTCTGGTTTTGAATTACAAATTCATGCATCTTATGTGGGTATTTCATTTCCATCTAACTTTTCTCTTGGAAAACTTCCAGTCAGAGTCAGTTTTGCCAGAAACTCTGCAGCCTATTTCTGTTACGTCTGTCAAAGAAAGCCCTTCCAAAGCAGTAGGAGAAAGTTCTATTCCCACTTCTCCAGGATTGAGGAGGAGATTTGTGTAAGGAGCTATGGTTTCTTTACTAAGGCTTTTTTGGTGATATGTGTTTGGTCTTACTTTGTTTCATTTTTTGATTAAACAGTGCTCCATCAAACATTGAAGATAGACCTCGTGATAGTGTTGAGACTGATCATTCAGCGCCTGTCAAATTGGATGCTGCAGCACGGACTCATATTGACAAGCACAGGTATTTTCCACATCTTAACTCATTGTTGAACTAAGTTGAAGTACTAGAGCATAATAAGAGAGTGAGAGCAAGAAAATACCTATTTGTTTCCTGATTGATGTAGACACGTCTCTTTCTATTTATTGATGTATGTAATTTCTATTTATTGATGTATATAATTTTATGTACATTAGATATGTATTGAGTCATTGCAGTTGAACAGTCGGTAACCTAACCTGCCTTCACCATATCCTTGTTTTATGTAGACTATCCACGATTTAATTCCTTTTAAGGGAAATGAACTTTCATCATTCTTTTTTAGGATTGCATTCTACTTGACCTAGATATCATTTGTAATTATTACCGCAGATACTTCATTATTGCTAATTCTTATTCCTTCCTCTATCAGAAAACTTCAAGATGATTTGACAGATGAAATGGTTGGGTTGGCACAGCAACTTAAAGAGAGCAGTCTCATGATGAGTCAATCCCTACAAAACACTGAAAAAGTAAGTTCCCGAAATGTCACAGTTTTAATTTACTTGATTCTGATTGTTGTCTTCAGGTATACAGTCCAATGTATCCTAGTAGCTTGGACAGTTGACAATACTTGTATTATAGAGATGTCTTATAACTAGGATGTCTAATAACTAGCATATTAGATGTATTCTAATACATGGTCAGCGAACCTCATGGCGCAATTGTAATTTGAGTGCAGATACTTGATTCAACAGAGCAGGCGGTTGAACAGAGCTTGGCAAGCACTGGTCGTGCCAATGTACGTGCTATGGATATATACTCGAAGAGTTTCAAGACTACGTGTTTTACATGGCTTCTGATATTTGTAATGACATGTATATTCGTCATGGTTGTACTTCTTATTCGTGTCACTTAGTGTATTACATTCAGTGAGAAGCAGCAGTCATAGATTCTGCAAGTCTTATAGTGCTTAGAATTTACCAATCAAACTATGTTCTTCTGATGTAACATATATATGCTTACGATTTTGAGTATTAAGCCATGTCACAGGTTTGTTCTGCATTTGACTTTTGATGGGAATGCCATTTTAATTCTCAAGAAATGCATTTGAGAAAATTTTGCTAGGGCTTGTTTCTGGTTTTTCTGTTGTATTTAGCTAGCTAGTAATAATAGTACTAATCAGAATTATGGCTCAATTGTTTAGTTTCAAAAATTAATCAAATATGGGTTGGGTTGGGTTGGGTTGGGTTGGGTTAGGTTAGAATTGATTTGTTTGATGTCACAAAAACACAGTTCTCAGCAATTCAACAACAAAAGCCTCATTGTATTGGTTGTTTGGTACAGTTTATGGGTGCTTATGGGTTCTTTATTTTATTTCATTATATATATATATATTTGTGGTATGCAACTTATGTTTAGATTTTTTTATAAAAAAAAAAAAAAAAATTTATTGGCGTTTAGTAATTTTTAAAATCCCAATGCGTTACGTGGGGAGTCGATTAGTCAAAAAGTTAGAATTGTGAAATTAATGGACTTTAAAATAGAGTAACCCTTTTTGAGCTATTTGCTAATTGTGTATATTATAAATCCCAGTTGAGCAATAAAATATTAGCAAGTTTTAGTTCAAACAAATCTTGGCATTAAAGGTTTTTTAGCATAATTTGACTCTTGTTAAAATAAAATAGGAAGTTTTAGTTGAAACTAATCTTTCAAGTTTTTTCACATAATTTGATTCTTGTTAAAGAGAATAATTAAAAGGCTAAAATAAAACAGAAAGTTTTACTTGAAACTAATCTGTCAAGTTTTTTCACATAATTTGATTCTTGTTAAAAAGAATAATTAGAAGGTTTTGAAAAGACTAGTATAAAACAAATGTGAATCAGTGCACCAGCCGGGAATCGAACCCGGGTCTGTACCGTGGCAGGGTACTATTCTACCACTAGACCACTGGTGCTTTCGATGAATGTCGTGGAAATTTATTTAGTATTATTTTTTCCCTGTGGTGGTTGAATTTGGGGCACCCTGCATTCTTCAAAGAAGGAACGGTGGGTTGTTAGATGGCTTGATCCGATTAAAATCAGCATTTTTGCATAATCAATTGAATTCTTACACCTCAATAGGACGTGCATTGTTCAACTTTTTCTTCCCAAAAGTATGACATTTGATGTATAAGGAAAAATATTCAAATTGTAGGGATATATTTTCTGAGTACCAACACATAGCCAAGGTGACGCCGACGTATCAGCCAAGGTGTCACGTGTCCTAGTCATGACGCCGAGGTGATCTCGGCTAGGCCGAGGTTATCTCCGAAGATATCGGAATCCGAGATAAGCGGATAAGGGACAAGAGTCCTAGAATGAGCAAGGACTTCAGCCTGGATAAGGATAAAGCTCTTATGGCATGTTTGATTGGGTGGATTAGAGCATGGGGTTGAGATTATTAATCCGTGGGCCCAATTATCCTATATTTGTTTTAACATTTTGGTTTAGGATTATTAATCCAATGGATAATTAATCCAACAAATTTGTAGGATTATTAGTAATGGGATAGGGATGAGATTATTAATCCAATGGATATTAATCCAATTGGATAATGAATACCACACTAATTTAATAGTGAAAATCCTAAGTGATTCGTGATTAGATCAAGATTAAAATATTCCAAATTCCAAGTATCCAAAACACACAATCTAAACCAACAACCACTTACGAAAGTGATTTAGATTGTTTGTTTTTCGGAATAAACAATAAATCGACACAAACGATTTTTACGTAGAAAAAACCACAATTGAAGAACCTTCAATTGTAATAAAAAACCACGGGCGAAACGCCACTAATTAATCCACTACTGAAGTAAGAAAGATTACAAAGATAACACACAAATTACCCCACTCAGTCAATTTGCCTTCGAATCTTCTGTAACTCTTTCACCACGCCTTCGTCTCGGAACTGATCAATCCTGAAGTTGAATCCACAACTTCACTTGTCGAATAAACGACTATGTACAGAATCAAACGCCTTTGAAACTCCACGTTTGAATCTTCGGAATCCACCAGAAATCCATCACCATCCAGGCAAAGTTAATGCGGTGGCAGACGCACTGAGCCGAAAGATGACCAAAAGTTTGACGTGTACTCTCGTTTCCTGCAAGATCAATGGACTACTGGCCAATATAACCATGGAACCTGCATTGATTAAAGAAATTAAAGTACACCAATGTGAAGATAAACTTTTGAAGAGAAAGTACGAAGAGCAAAGGAGTACGCCTGATCCTGATTTCACTATAAGCAATGGGATACTAAAATTTCAAAATCGAATTTGCGTACCTGACATTCCGGAACTCAAGAAGAAGATATTAGTGGAAGCTCATAGCTCAAGATTTGCAGTCTACCCTAGCAACACAAAGATGTACCATAATCTAAAGGAACACTACTGGTGGATAGGAATGAAAAGAGACATAGCAAGCCACATCTCCAAATGTCTACATTGTCAGCGTGTTAAAGCAGAACATCAGAGACCTACAGGACTGCTGCAACCACTCCTTATTCCTGAATGGAAATGGGAGCACATTACAATGGACTTTGTGGTCCTCCGTATTTGGAACT